TTTTTTCAAAATAAAGCTGTAATTTTGCTAAAGTGATGGTAAAGATATATTAATGTCACCAATATTCAGATATAAATCTAYAATCAGATTTTTGCTGTTGTTGTTTGAGTCCTATCTGACAAACAGAAGAAATGTAACTCATGCTGACATGCATCCCTAATTGAAGTCTGGCAAGCCTTTCTGAAAGAAACACAAATACTTGCAGACAATCTTTTTCCCCAAACTAGAACTAAACCATTTAGATCTCCTCTCATTCTTTTCATTCCTCATTACTTTTCGTTTATAGACACTGCCAGGTGCCAGCTGGGGCACAGCATAGAAACAGCGAACTGCAGATGATGGCTATTTGTGATGTTTCAAGCAGAACCAGAAGCTGAATCTGTTAGGAAAAAAAACCCAACAAATACCACAGAAAAGCAGAAGCTCTTCTGAGCTTTTCACCTCAGATTTAATGGATCTGGCTAGTTTAGATAATAATACAAGCTGCTCTTATAGGTGTAGTACATTGTTGTTGGAAATTTTGGAGCATTTTGCTGGACACCTGTTTCTCATGACTATACATAATTCTTTTCTTTATATCAGCAGGTACCACTATATCATTTTGCTGTTAATTAATAGTTTGAGTTTTCAGCAGGAGTTAAAGATGTGCTTGTGAATTATTTGTCCATTTTTCTCATTGTAAATTATTTGTCCATTTTTCTCATTTCTCATTTGTGTCCCATGTAAAGTCAGAAATCAGAGGACATACCTATTATAGCTGTGCGGTGTTGTAAAGTCCGTTCTAGATAAAATATTAACACTGAAATATTCTAAATTAATTATTTAGGCAATGTTTTATTTTTTCCGATGCACTTACTCTTTAATTCATTGTTTATACTGTACTTAATTGTATTAAGAAGGATAACACAAAWAACTCTAAAGAGCTCTTTAAAAGGGAGGAAAACTTCATGCAGAAATGATTTCACAATTAAACTACTTACTGAGATATATTAAACATATTTTTTCTTAATTTATATAAATGGTTGTTCAACCACTTGGTAATTTAATGCTGGTTTTGTTCAATATCTTGCAGGAAGCTTCAAAAGATGGTGCATGACATCAAGAAAAATGAAACTGGGATAATAAACAAGTTCAAAAAGTAAGTTCTCAGTGCCAATCCCTAGTTTTATCGATGTGGGGAAGTTTGGATTATGAGCATAGTGTTGTACTGTAGTGGTGGGACTGTGCCATTCCTGGGGGATGTACTTTGGTGCATGTAAAGAGCTTCAGTGCAGACTGCAACGTCCAGAATTGTCATCAGTATTAAGACTATCATAAAGTAGTTGCAGAACTGGAATCCAATTACACGTTTTGTTTGTAACCTTGAAAAAAAAAACAGTATTTGAGTGAAGGGTCTTTTTCTTGGATGTTCTCTGGGAACGGTCAATGCTTTTTGCTTGCATTGTGCCTTTCTCCTTAGGCAACTGTTTAGGCTTCTGCTGCAATTAAGTTGAATTTGAGCTCCCTCTTGAACCAACTAGTCAGACATCATACTTAAAATTCCCATAAAAATGCTAAGTCYCCCTGTGTTTCAGTTTCAAAAAACAAAACCCAGCGTTACCTAGCATCCTTATTCCAGTAAAATGTGCTGAACACCCTGCAGATGGGTGTCATGTGCATGAAAGTATCATAAAATATTCATGTGTATTTATACATAGAAATTCCAGTAATTCTGCATCCCTGTCAAATGAATACACTGCTCACTGTTTCCAGTCAAACATCTATTTAAAGCAATTAGCTATTTAGCACACTTTTCTTGATGCAAYAGCTCATTTGCATTGGAATCCCATTCAGATGAGATTTTCTCAATCTGATGTCTTTCTTTACATGGGTCATTGGCAACAAAAGTATTTAAGTACTTTTAGAAGGTAATTACTACAGTATATCTGCAGCATTTCCAGGACAGTCATATTGCACTCTGAGGAGCAGCAGGACTGCCTGGCTCTCCTGTTCCCCACCAAGGACGAGTAATTTGGGCTCCAAGCCCTCCTTTGTGCTCTCATTTCCACAGCTGTGTTTCTATCCACAAACCCTGAACAGGCTCTGATGGTGAAACACCTGATATATTAGATAGATTGTTGAGATTATTTTTTCCTGTATTCATCCTCTTTCACTCTAAGATTGCTGCAATTCACAGTAATTCATTTGGTTAATGAATACTTACTTATTTCCACCAAGCACAGAAGGAAATTTTCCCTTAAATTTCCCCACTTTCAACTGCTTGKGGTTTTAATTTAAGTGTGTTTTTGTTTTTAACACAGTGTTCACCACCCATCTACAAAAAACTCATTTTCACCTGGGATTTGCTCACAGGGAAGAGCTGTTAGGCTTCTGGTGGGCTTTTGGAGGGTAGGAGGTTAAAGAGGGTCTCTTGTAGTTGTTGCTCTTTAATAAAGGGTGGCTTCCTACTTCACAGTATAGTTTAAGTGTAATTAATAATTTTCCAGTGAGCTCAGTTCAAAAGCCTCAGAGAGGAAAGCAAATGACRGGAACAACAGAAGCATCTAAGGTTTGTAATTTGAGGCTACAAAGTGTCTCCCATAGTTGGCTGAACTTGAATTCTGTTGTTAATCRGTTGCCCTGATTGTGTGTCCTTCCTGGAGAGTAAGAGGGAAACAACAGGATAGGGAGAAATAACATGAATCAAATGTGGCAGAAGCTGGAAAGATCATCAGTAAGTGTCAGAGACAAGATTGTTGCTATAGCACAGCAATTCTTTGATTTGCTCTAGATTGAAAAAAAAAATAAATACTCATAAAATCTCTCTTGAAGTATGACTGCATAAAGCTCACATTTCAACTCCCCCAATTAAAAGAACACAAAATATAATAATCTTTCTGATGCTACTGTGATTCACCTGGGTCATATCAATCTTTTTTGCAGTTATGAAGATCAAAAATTTAGTTTTTAAAAATTGAAGAATTTCTAGTATTTGCACGACTCCAGAGCCCAAGTCTTGAACCCAGCACATAATGAAATTTGCAATAAAAGCATGAGTCCTAAACACTGATAAGGATATGTACAAGGGGTGCTAAGCTTTACAGAATTAGAGCTGGCTGTGTTCCTCGCTATGTGCCCTTTGGGGGCTTTTTGTTTGATTGTGGGTGCTTTTTCTAAAACATGTGGTTATCCAATTGGTCACTATTTCCATTTCAGTTAAAGGATTATTTTATTAAATGTCCAGATTCTAAACATGACTGAAGCAGGAAAAGTTGCATTTAAAATGGGATTTTTGTAGCATAGATTCATCTATATGCTGGGGAAAAAAATCAAAATCAAGCCTATTATAAGTAGAAATAATTTTAGAGAATTCAAATAGTGTACTTGCTTATCTGAAGCCTAAAGTTGTTGCACAGATATATACTGTAAGTCTCTGCTACGCAAATTGAAAGATTTATCGAATATTCATTAAAYACATTGGACTTACTAGCAGTTTTTAAAAAACATTAAAACATTTTTAAAATCTAATTATGCAGAAATGTAAAAGTTCTTGCATCAAGACTTGCTCTCCAGTCTAGTTCATCTGTGGGGTGCAGSTGGGGAGGGATTCATCTACTATTCATGTGTGTTTTAAAGGTCTGTGGAAAGCAGGCTGAGCAGTCCTGGTAACAGGAAAGAAACTGACAGGTTGTTTTTTCATTGCTTCAAATTTTCTGTTTGTTCCCCATTCTGACTTAACATTTCCTGGCAGTAAAAATATTGGCCACTACAGGATAGCAGTCACCTGCTTGGCCTTAATCACATGCAAAACTGTTTACAACACTGAGTCCCAGCTGCTGTACAGAGCATGGTGTCAAGGAGGATTATGTACTCAGGTGTAGCAGCAATGAGTGTAGCCAGCATTGGATAAATAATGAGAGCTGGGGGCATTTTTTGTCATATTCACATCCTTAATGCAGAACAGGGCAGCAGAGAAATCATAGGTTCRTCATGTAGGATGGTTGCCTATGCTTGAAACACACTGTAAAAACACAGCACTCATCTGTAAATCATAAGCCTTAAGCCTCAGCATATTATAGAGGAGAAATCTTGGAATTTTAAAATGGATTAGTTTCTTGTCTTAAAAGTTGCTCTGAATTTCTGTACCGTGCATTCTGCTCTTGTGTGAGAGGCATCTATAACCCATTCTGTGAAATGTCCCAAGTGCTACCTGGTTGTTTGTTGAAGCTACAATGTACTAGGATTAAACACATTTAAATATGCCCACTCAGTTGGATGGCATTTGATTCTTCCAGTCCTTTCTCATTAACTCCAGGGRACAGGACAGTCAATTGCCATTCTGCAAGGATCTGTGTGGCCAGTGAGGTCAGAGCCTGCAATAGCTGGGTAACCACGCCCTGGCACAGGRTTGTGTCTTTGGAGCTTGTGTGGTGGTTTGCACACTGGGTCAAGTTCTGTCTCCTGTAAAGTGAAGCTACAGCTGATTTCAAAAGAGCCTGGATTCCAGTTCTGGCACTCAGAGAATCATACCAGCACAGTGAAAATSACTTCTTAAGTGGATTTGAATTTTAGAATAAATAACATATTTGGAGAGATTGTAGCAAATATAGATGTGGCTGTGAACTGTTTCAGCTCTGTGACAGAAACATTATTTCTTTTTTTCTATTGATATTCAGGTTCCAAAATGAACAAGTGGCCTTAATTTGCAAAACTGGGAAAGATACTTGGGATCGGTATGCTATTCCATAGCTGCACCATAGCATGATAGGCTGCTTAGACACAGACCTCTGTTCTGTACCTCGTGCGCTTTCGTTATAACGTATTTACATTTTCTGCCAGGGCCACTGCCAGGATTTACAGGGGCTGGGACCAGGTGTGGAAGATTTCTGCTCAGCACCTTAGAAATGACGTGTGATGTTGTTTAAGCCATGTACTTTATACCGTGACACAGACATCCCTTTACTCTTGCCTGAGTTCCACTATTTTCTGAGTCTCCAGCATTTCTGAACAACTCACAATAGACAAGTTGCAAAATACATCAAGAGATCTTGGGTTCCCCTCCCTAAGACCTGAGATTTGCCCTGGCAGTGGCCTTGGGATTTTCTTTCTAACATGGCTGTGCTAACCTGGACAGAAAACCAGAGCAGGGCTGTTGAGAATGCTTGTTCATTTACTGTTTGTGCACTCAGTTATATTGTGCTGCAGGGAGTTAAAACCTYGGAGGAGGCAGCTGTCCATCATTAGTGTTCTTAGCGATAAAAAAAGCAAAATAATCTTGCAAAAATAATCTTCCTGGTTTGTTTTTTGTTTTGGGGGAGGGGGGATTGAGCTTTTTTCAGTCTTAGCAATGCCCGCAACCGTTTATTCATTGATTCATGCATGTGCGTGGGGTGGTTTTTGTAACTATCTGAGCAACAGAATTCCATGAATTCAACTCAGAAGTAGTCAAAGCAGACAGGAAAAGTTTGTGAGCTGATGTGGTGGTGCCAGCGTGCCTTGTAAGCTGATGGAGTGGCCAGCACGCCACCACCTTGAGTTACAGTGGTACCTGAACAATGATGTCTAGGCAGCAACTCAGGACCTAAATACTGAGTGTCAAATTCTTGTGGTAAAGCAAAATTTGTAAACATTATTGCTCAGAGGTCCCAAGAAAACATTTAAAATTCTTTGGGGATTTTTTAAAAATTATTTGCTTTTTTTTGTTAATGAATTTGTTAGAACTGAGGAATGAATGAAGTTATCAGTTCAGTGGACATAGGTGAGGTCCATGGTGAGGTCTCATCAGTCTCATCAGCTATAGGGAAGCTGTCAGACAATGTTCAAAAGCCACTCTGAGGAATAATTTTAATGTCATCAATTATCTTGATGTTTTATCTGGCTAAAAAACCCAAAGGGTTGTAGCTTTTCCCCTCTGCAGAGGCATCAGYCTGGCCTCTGATGTCACACATGCACTGTTCATCTTCAAACCCAAATTCTTCTCTTTCATTACAGGGTGATTAAATAATTCAGCTGGCTGTAATTCAGTGTCTTCTTTGGACAGCTGCAAGTTAGTAAGGAGTATCCATGAATACACACACACACATATATACACACAGAAATATATATATGTTTACACATATTTCTATTTCTGCTTGCTAGGTATATACACGTGCACACACAGATAAACCTATATGGCCATAAAGATCCTTTCAGTATTTCTACAAATTACCTTTTGATTTACTTGGTATAACAAATGCCATTGTAACAGCTTTTRCCAAAAAAGGGACATAACATCATAAAATAAYAAAAAGTATAAAAAGAATCTGKCACTGAGAGACCCAGTGTAYAATTATACAATAATCAGCAAATCRGTGCATGCAAAATTATTGTGCTAAAAATACAAATTGAGAGTACTACACCACTTTCTTATGCCATGTCTTAGTAAAGCCTCTGTGAACCTGAACAGATTTTCATTTTCCAATAGATCATTATTTATCTCTGCCCCCTATCTTATCTCTTTCTGGAAAGGAAGAGGAGAGGGGGTGAGCAAGGCAGCTGTCCTTTCAACATATGTTCTCAGTGGAAAGAATATATTAAAATCTCAGATTCTATTTTAATCTTTTATCCATTTCTAGCTTTTAAAAGCATTCTTCTACAGCCATTTGCTAAGCATCTGTGATAGTAATCGGTATTTCTTCAGCTGCAGGTATCTTTTGTTATCAGCTTTTTTATGTGTCTGGCTAATGCTCCCTTCTAGTGAATGTTACTTATGAGATCATAAACATAATCATTATCATTTACAGGCTTAAAAAAAAGTCACCACCAAGCCTACCACAAAGGGATTATGCTTCAGGTAAGGCTGTATGGATGTAAATTTAAACTGCATGTCTATGTTAATTTGCCATCTATATGCCTAACAGTATTTCAGTTATACATTGCCTCGTAATTTGTTTTTAATGAGAGAACAGGATACCATTATCWATAACTCTGAAGACAATTCACACCTTTGAAATGAAAGGCAAGCAAGAAATGATGAATTGTGCCGGCATGAAGGGTACCAAGTAACCACCGTTTCAAAATCAGTCTTTATCAGGGTTCTGTATCTAGGTGACTGTAAAAACAGAGGAGAATTTGCATCCAGTCCCTCCTTGTACAGACTGTGATGTGAAAGTAAATAGGGAAGAAACTGAATAAATGCATCATTACAGATTCAAAATCTTAATACTATTAATGTAATGATGACATCATGAATTATCTTAGYGGTAGACCTCTACTTGCTTATCATATAGCACCACCCACAAACTAGTTYGTGGCTATTTTTACAAGTTAACAGCCATCTTGATAAGATAAGAATTGAAGCAAGGAGGTCAGAGTTTRGAAGTTATCCGGTAACTGTTCCCTGTTTAACATAAACAGTTGTRATCAGTGAGCTGTCTTGGCGCTTTAACCAAGAAACAAGAAGGTGCAGGGCCTAGAGCTTGGCAAGAATTCCATTATCTAGAAATTGTCACCCCTACTTAAAAATGAGATGGATCAGCAGGACACTGTGGGTAAAGTGCATGCTCTGCTATCCAGACCATGTGCAATTTGTCGTTTTCTAACACTCTCCCAACAGCTCTGAAAAAATTTGTCAAAAACAAGTGAGCAGGCATTTAATTTACTATTCAGCCAAAACYAGATGGGTTGCTCAGAACTGTTTGGAAATTTTGCTCACTCTTTTTTAACAGAATATGATAAGTATAAATTGAAAAACAATCTAAGATCAACATTTATGTTCGCTATTACATCTCCTTAAATAACTCTAATGTTTGGTTTAGAACATGCAGACAACGAAGAGGAGCAATGGTCAGATGATTTTGTAAGTACATATTTTGGGCTAGTAGGAGGTTACTGTAGCAACAAGTTAGCACCAGAAATAATAAGAAAAGTTTCTTTTTAAATCATCTAGTTGTGGATGAACTAAATACTACTGAATTATCTTATTTGTTATATCAGCTTTATTCACAAGTAGMCACTGATTTTTAGCTGCCTCAATTTTTTTACATTCAGCTTAGAAGTACTTTCAGAAGCACTGTCAATGGTGGCCATGAATGCTGAGGGTTTGGATAAGTAAGCACGTGGCATCAGTTTGAGGGACTATAATAATTTCAGAAATCAGTAAGAATCTTTATTTGGGGGAGGAAGCGTGGGAGAGGTGAGGAGAGGAAAGACACTTCTTACCAGAAATGAAAATTTCTGCTAAGATTTTAGAAAGCATTAGAATGAAGCAAGTCATGGTTGTCAGCCATGTAAAGTAATGTGCAGCTATCAGCCTGAAGTGGCCAGTTTCCTTCTGGAGTCAGATCCCGAGTACCCTTTTAGCAGGAAARGGAGAGGAAGTGACAACATGACAACATAAAAAGTCACAGCTGCACCTAGAAAGGAGATGTCCTGTGAAGGGAAACAAGCTGTTGATCCATAATTKGAAGACTGAGCTCTTGAGGTGAAAGTATTCCTTGGAGATAGCAAGCAGACATGGAGAACTTGGGAGGAGCAGAAGGGGAGGAGGCAGGAGAGGCTGTTTGCTCAAAGAGGAAGCACTAAAAGGGAATATGATGTGTCCAGTCAAAGTGCAAGGATATTTGTGTCATACATCGCTTTGAAGCCATAAGTATCCTATGAGATGAGAAATGGGAAGTTCTGTTTTTTAGGACAGTGATTATGAAAATCCAGATGAGCACTCTGACTCTGAGATGTATGTGGTCCCCAGTGAAGAGAATCCTGATGACAGCTATGAGCCACCTCCAAGTGAGAAGGAGAAAAAGAAGATTCCCTCTGCATTCCCTATTTCTAGGGGTGAATATGCAGGTAGTTATGGAATAGTTGAGTACCTCAGCCTGATAATTGCTTTTTGATCAGTACCAGAAGAGAAGCGACTTCAAATGGACTAAACTGTCCTTTCCTCAAGAGTTTGTTTTCAGTTATGACACTCAGGTCTTAAGCATTCAGGACTATGATTTTTTTTTTTTTTAATTACAGCATGAAACAGATTAGTGTTGCTCATAGTGATGTTTATAATTTTAATGTGTCCTAGAGACTTTGATAGACATCTACTAACTACAAAATTGAAGCAAGGTTGTGGGAGATACTATTAATTTGGCTCCAGATTAATCCACATATATAGATTCAGGAATTCCTGTTAAAGATGAGGCACATAAGAACAGACAGGTCCCTTCTTAATCTTCTCTGTTTCTCCAATCATTATACCAAAGRCAGTAAAACAGTAGCCCACATATTCACTTCCTATTGCCCTTCAAAATTGGTACTGAGGAGGATAAATATCCTGAAAAACTCGACAGGATCAAGATTTTATTTACATCAGCCCAATTTAAAGGGAGTTTTTTTCTTTCTGTTTTAATTCTTTTCAACCATGGACAGGTTGCATTGAAGTAAATGACAGTTAGCTTCAGTTAGATGAAGATTTGAGACATGATGAAAAGAAACATTGACATGCCTGCTTTCATTTTTGTATGACACAAGGCTGTTACTGATTGTAGAATATTCATCAGATTGTTAAAATACCACATATGTACTCAAAGAAGTTTACCAGCACTTCACCTGTGTGTTCTTTGAAAAGGGAAGGACTTGTTAAAATGACATCTCAGAGAGCCTGGCATAATTTATGTTCCAGTGTYATTTTTCTCGTGTGTCTCATACACCACCTAGCCACCACCTTTTCCCCAAGGAGTTAAAATTGTTGAGTTGTTCATATGACAGTCAGTGTCTAGGCACCCTCTGCAGCCTGACACAGAGGGTAAGCTGCCTCCTTGAGCAATGARACAGGATCTCTTTGCACACAAATCCCAACATCAGGGCCAGCTATGCTCAGATCTTCCTTTTGACCTGTGCTGCAGCCACAGTAGAAGAAAGGGCAGAGCCTAATGTGTGATTTTTACTAAATCTATTATTTTCTACCACATGAAAAGACAATCGCACCAGTCACCAGCCGCTTCCACCCATCAACAAACCTCTCCCAAGCACGCCCAGTCCAGCCCTGTCCAGACCAAAGAAACCATGTGTGCCGTCCATGCCATCGCCATCTCCTGCTGCRAAACCTAAAGTGCCACCAAAGCCTAGGGAGTGCAGTGATGATGAGGTAAAGTTTACAGATGTGCTTGTTTTAACTGTGTCAATGTCACAGCAATGTCATGCCCTGGTCTTTTTATCAGTCTCTCCAGTATAAATCATTTTGCACATCACAAATAGTGACCTGCAAGTACTGATTCCTGGGGACAGATGCCTGCTCTGAGTATCAAGGAGCCTCTTTAGGCCATGGAATAGCTCCTGACCATCTGTAGCAAGCTGCAGGCAAAAGGGAGAGACCTCTCCAAGGAGCAAAAGGAAGCGTGGGCTTCCACCCACCAGTCAGAACTGCAATAATTTGGGAAAGGGTTTTCAGGCATTGGGATTTCATTCCACATACGATGATAAATGTCTGAAATAGGAGTTACTGACAACTATTGTAAACTGCTGCCAGGGCTTCAATCCCAACAGTTTGTTGACATGATGACATGATGGAGGTTTAACTGATAGATTTTTGTCCTGCATTTCTCATAGGATAATTACATTGTGCCAGTGGACAATGAGGAYGATAACTATATTGAACCCACAGAAAGCAGCATGTCTCTACCTGCAAGATGTGAGTTTTAGTCATTTAAGATAATAATTATTGCTTAAGAATAACAGTGAAGAAAAACTGGGTCAAGTTAATGTCTGTTTCTAGAATTCAAAGAGTAGAGATGCAGCTATTTGAGACCACAGCCTGCAAAAAGCAGCTGGGTTCTTTGGCTTATGGCAAGGCCAAGGAAAATTAACTTTATTGGAAGCCATGTTTAATTTCTTCCTTTCCCACTCAGCTATTTCAGAGTCCAGCCCTTGTACAAGCAGGAGGCTATTCATGAAATATGACCTGCCTCCTCATCCAAGGAAGCCACAGCATCAAAATTCTGTTTGCTGAAATGCTTTAGGAAAACAAGATATTTCAGTAGATAAAGAAAGACTTTGATTTTTTTTTTTATCTTACTATTTGAAGTATATTTAGCTGGAGAGTGAAACTACTACAGCCCAAAGGGGAAAAATAAATGGAGAAGAGTATGTAGTTCTGCTCTCTGGAAGGCAGAAATACTGAATCATGTTTCCTTTTTAAAATGAGAGCTGCTTTCTGACTCAACTGATTTATTCAAGGTCAACAAAAAGGTTGTCATTTGGACCTACTTAATATTCATTCATATTATATAAATATTACATATAGTTTGTTAACATGCATATATATATATAAATGTGTATATATACACACATGCACTACTAAATATGTACATGAATAAAATATGTTTTTAGCTCCTGTGAACAGATTTATGAAGAAAACAAAGCCAGCCCCTCCTATTTCTCCAAAACCTTCTCTTACTTCTGATATGCAAGGTATGTGGAGTTTTTGTCACTACTAGAATAAAATAGTCTAAGACTGCAGAATATTAAATTATGCTTGATGTTTTCACAACACTAACACTATGACATACTAAAGTAAAACAAAAATACGCTCCCCTTTAGCTTTTCTGTGTTGTTAGCAGTTGCTTTATCTAGCTTGAAGAGTAAATCCATTTTAAGCATGAATAAAACTAGACAAAGTTATTTGCCATTTGCCCCTAATTAGTTTATTTTTAGTCTTTTGCTTTAATGGAGGAACACAAATGGATCAACACAGCAAAAAGAATTATAGGACTCAGTATATCAGTAATCCCATTTCACCACACTAATCAAGACCCAATACTTTTAGACCATAAGAATTAATCACACAGAAATCCTGTACAGGCTGATGTCTTGCATGGCCTTTCATTACGGTGTTCCCATTGAAGTTCTGTAAAGAGCAGTTTATTTGGAAAAAGAAACAAAAGCAGAAACAAATAAGAGGAATCCTATTTGCTTTTGTAAGTGCAGATATACTAGTTTAATCACCCTGTGCCAACTCAGAGTTGTTTTGCATCCTCATTATCTCATTAATTGCTTGGATGTAACCTTTACAGACATGACACAGTTCTTTAAAAAGCTTTGCATATTCATTAGCAATGTGTTTAGCTTTAAAGTCACAAACTACAAGTCATAAACTAAAAGTTTTTTCTGAATTACTTAAGATTTCATGAGTTATTTTCCAGACATTTTTAAAAGCCCTTTTCAATCTCAGCCTTTCTGTAAATCAGTGCCGAGCAACAACCAGCTCCTGACAGATGTTACTAAAAAATCAAACGTCTCCCCCTGGTGGGAGCTGGGACACTTGAGTGCAGTACAGTGATGAAACCTGACATCAAATTTATTGAAATAGGATTCTATTTTCATTGAAGAAACGGGGCATAGATAAAGATGCTGCTGGTTTGTGCTCTTAAGATCTATGAATTAAAATATACCTGTGGGTCAGAACTCAGRGAGGGATGCTGGCCATGCAAATGAGCCAGTTTGTATTTATTACTGGYCGGGTTTCTTCCTCCCTGAGTCAAGGAAAGGCTGAACACTAGTACAGGTGTGATAACACACATTTTTCAAACCGACCCAGGTTTGTATAACACAAGCATTCATCTTGATTTGGGGGTGAGAGTACGGCAGGGGAGAAAAAACAATAAAAATGTTTTGGGGTGGGAGAAAACTTGATTAATACAGTGACTGTGCATCACAATTCYTGTGATTTCACCTGAAGTTCCCACTTAGACAGGGGATCTTGCTACTCCAGGGGTTTGGTGGCAGATTATCCAAGTTATTTTTCCAAAGTCAGTAGTACAACTGATAGAAATTCAGGTCAATTTTTATGGTAACAGCAGTATGTTTCTGTTAACTAAAGAWTGCTTTTTATTTCTTCCCTGTCCTACAGAAGTCTATGAGGTTCCTGAAGAAGAGGTGAGACCTTTCTAATAGTATGACTCCCACRGCCCATAGACAGGGTACAAATGTGATTGTGAGAAAAGATTATCAGYCTTTCAAAAGGGGAAATTGGGAACAAATCTCTTTCTGCACTTTAAGCTTCCTGACACTCCCTCTGCAGAAAAGCTAGCAAACCATTTCACARGAGTAAATGGGAATGGGGAAGTCTCCCAGTCCTCTGTGATAGGGATCCAGTCTGTGAAGCAGCAGCCTAAGGGAATRTTTTACAGAAGCAGAACTGCAGCAGAGGAGCAATGACAGTTCTGACACAATCATTTTTTTCCCACTTGCTGGTACTGACATAACATATGGCCAAAGCAGATTTACTGATGTTGAGTTCTTGCCTCCCCCATCCTAATGCAGATTACCAGACAGAGCTCTAGTAGAAATCTATATCACAATGCAAAAATAATAGTTAATCTTGATGTGGTAAYATAAATAGGATCATGCAAATTTATTTATGGAATCAAAAAGTGAGCAAAAATATTCAGCACATTTTCTCTTACAGGAAAAGCCATCACCACCACTGATAACCAGGTAACCCATTGTTGTGAATCTTTGGGCATTATTTAAAACTGTCAGAAAATATATTTTATCATCCAGGCACTCTTTGTCTGATAATTCTTTCTCTAGAAGAAATACAGTAACAGAAGTAAAAAATATATACAGTAAATATCTCTTCAGATTATCTACACTCAGATTACAAACTATTTGTRTGTTAATTTCAATAACCCAAATGTAACACATATTAAAAAGAAATACTCTTAAGGGTACTTGTCAAATTTTGAGGGGGTAGGGGAAAAGAAAGAGAAGTTTTCTTTGTATTCGTGATCATTAAATGTAATTTTCCTTTCTAGRTTTACCAAGCCACTGATGTCTATCCCTGCTCAGAATACAGAGCACTCCCACATGCACAGCGTGACCAGAGAGTCACCTAAGCAGGATACTTCCAGGTAAGGCCACAGAAGCTTAGATTAATAGGAAATATTAGCAGAGAAAAAAAAAAATCTTCTCTCTAATGTGTAGCCTTCAGACAATAAACAATTATCAGGACACTCAAATAGCYAAGGATGTTGGGACAAGATGCAAACCAAGAGTTCTCTTTTCTTKATGAACTTCTGTATTCAAGCCAGTTTKCTTCTGGATAGTATTTTCTGAAATATGCCTTGAGGGATCCAGTACAGGGATAAAATATCTCTGCAAGTTTAAGGTCCCATTAGCCATTTCTGCACCTTTGCAAGTGAGATGGTTTTGCAGTTGTACAGGACTGCTTGTAAAGAAACTGGACACAGTAAATCCRTTATTTACATTCCAGGTCTCTGGAGGAAAAGAGAAAAATTATAATTGAGTATGCAACCTATTTCAGTCCTGTGTTTCCAGAAGTACAGAAAGCTACTTCATAACCCCTGCCTCATCTCTAGAACAATGTTTTACAAAATATGTCATGTGTCCCAGGGAGAACAGGAGGCACCCACAGCACSGTGTGTGTGAGGGTGTTTGGTGACGTCCTGTGCAGTCACAGGGGACTCAAGCTCATCTACAGCAGTTCCACACCAAGGGCACATCACCACAACCACTGTAGCTGTGCAAAGCTGAAATTAATTTAATGCAGTCCTCCTCTCTAGATCTTAAAAAGCGTATCTGAGCAAATTAAATAAATAAATCGTATCCATCATAACTTATTGTGTATGTTTTTCAGAAATATTTTGCCTCTCCCCAGAAGTCGTCTTCATCCAAAAACAGTGAGTAATCAATGACCACTCTAAAAGAACATGTTAAACCTGATYCTGTGTTTTAGATATAAATAGATGGATGCTTTTTATTATCTGGATTAAATAACAGAAACAGATGACCAAATGTCAGATTCATCCAATATTGTGATTGTTTCTATTAATCTTTTGGACAAAGAGCATTGGGCATCTGTATTGATCCAAGAAAAAATTCAAATGTTTTAAAGGACATATGTCTCAGTCCACAAAAATAATTTMTTGTACTAAAAAGTACCAGTTGAACTTCAGGAACATGATTTTAAGTAACAAACCATGATTTTGCCCAATCTGAAGCACTTTTCCCTGAGCCTTATTCCTCTCAGATGGTGAATGATGAATGCTTTCTGAAAATGGAAACTTTCTAAAATGTCAGGCTGGGTAGTCCGAGTAACCAGTATCACCAGAAAATGCAGTCCTTGAAGGACTAATTACAAGCCTTGAGTCCTTAAGTGCCAGTCAGTCCTCTTCTCCCTCAGCTCTTATCCCCAGTCTGTCCCTTCCACTGTGCTGGTTTTTTTGGTGTTTTCTTTTGAAACAAACTATTTGGAAACTCTTCCAACTGCAGAAATGAGCAAAAGCAAATGTATAAAAGATTCTTTATCAGCCATATTAGCTYCATAAATTGATTTGTACCATAGCTCTACTCACAGTTGTGCCARCATGAGAAGGTCTGCATGAGGAGCCAGCTATCAAGGAACATAATTGTGTCACATCTGTGCCAAAAGATACATGCATCACACCCTGTCCCAGCCCTCCACATCTTACTTCCCCAACTGCTGGGTGATGGATTACACCTCTCCAGCCACAGAATGGATGCATTTGTCACCAACATTAGTGAAAAGCCATTAGCTGGGTAGATGAAGACAGACAAATTAATAACTGATGCCTCTTTGAAAGGTACTTATCACATGGGCGCCTTGATTCCCTAAAAGATAAGAAATRGGAGCCAAAAGTAAGCATATCCAAAAGAAGTGAGGAAACTAGGTGGATTGCTTCATTCTAGCATGGTGACAAGACAGTCTACTCAGCTTCTTCCATTCAGTGGAAGATGTGTTTTTAGTATATTCAAATCTGCTGCAAAATTTTTGTCTTCCAGTTCAGAAATTAAATACAAATCAAAAGGTCTCCCTGCAAAATTCAGGTCATATTTTCTCAATACTTAGTACAATCAATCCCAAAATTATTAGAAAGTTCAAAATTTGAYGGTTGCTTAAAATTTTTCAAAAGACATCACGAAAGTATTCTGGATACTATATGCCTTCTGTACAAATATTTCATTAAAARTTACTACAGATAACAAAACCATATTTATTATTCATACAGTTCTCATTTGATATTCAAAGAATCATAAAGCCTGGGAAAGACCTCTAAGATCAAGTCCAGCTGTTAATCCAGCACCACCATGTTCACCACTAAACCATGTCCATAAGTGCCACATCCACATGCCTTTTGAACACTTCCAAGGATGGTGATTCCACCACTTCCCTGGGCAGCCTGTTCCAATGCCCATTCCACCCTTTTGCTGCAGAATTTTTTTCTAATATCTAATCTAAACCTCTCCTGGTGCAGCATAAGGCCATTTCCTTTTGTTACCAGGGAGAAAAGATCTATCACTCGTTACCAGGGAGAAAAGACCGACCCCCACCTGACTACACCCTCCTTTCAGGTSTTTGTAGAGAGCAATAAGGCCCCCTTGAGCCTCATTTTCTGCAGGCTAAAYACCCCCAGCTCCCTCAGCCACTCCTCATAAGACCTGTTCTCCTGTCCCTTCATCAGCTTCGTTGCCCTTCTCTGCTCCAGGACCTCCATGTCCTTCTGGTAGTGAAGAACTTGAAACCAAACACAGTAATTCCTTTTATCAATTCATTCATATCAAATCTAACCTGTTTTTCCATTACAGGACCATGAAGCAAGCAATAATGATGAAAGTAAGTATACAGATGAAAACATGGCAAAATGAGAGGGACTACTATGCCACCAGTTACCATAATACAGCATGCAATGCAGCGTGTCAGGGTGAATTTTAAGAGTAATAAATAAGAAGTGTTACTGAACTGTTCTCTTGTATAATCAGACTAAAAACATGTTAAGACAAAAATTAAACCAATGGATATCTTTTACATTTATTACATTAACACTGAAACCGCAGTGAGGAAAATCCACTGTTCAGATACAGCTCACAATGCACACTAAATATGTTGCTTGCAYCTCTAGGTCAGAGGTTCAATAACACACAAGAATCCAGATTTCCCACTGGAGCAGCTCCATCTCCCTTACCAAGGGGCCTGTGAGTAAAAAATGATAAAACTATTTCTTTGATGAGGATGGGTTTAATAGGTGTATTAGGAGCCAACTCCTATCCTTGCCTATAGCAAATCATAATTCAGGAATAATATTTATTCCTGTTCATGAAAGATATCCTGTCTAGGTAAAGGCAAGCTGTTATTTTGTTATTTCTGGAGGAATACTGTTATTTTACTATTTCTGGAGCTTTGCATGCCAGGGGCCTTTCTGCCACTGATGGCAGATGCTGGCTGCCTTGCCTAATTTAGTCCCATACTGCAGCACATGCAAGCCTGGAAGAGCAGAAAGCTTTCATTAAAGTTCTTCTGCCCCACCCAAGCCATGTTAAGTAGAGTTGTAGCTTCCTTCTGTAAGTACCCACATTGTATCTGATCCCTTATTCTTTTTTTTTATTCTTGTTTGTTTCTAACTGCTACAACTATCCAGTGAATCCCATCTTAGACAGAAATACCTTGGGAACCAGTGATGCTTAGTTGCTAAATGAATCCATACCAGCTAAGTAACCAGATTCTTTTTTTTTCTTTTTCCTCCATCCTTCAGCAAGAAAACTTCCAATCCAGTAATTCCCCCCGTAAGTTGACTTGCAATTGCATAATCAAACACAAATTTTATTAGATTTTTAAATTTATTGTAAAATTTAATTTTACCACGGGTTTGGGTAAAACATAAATGCATAAAAGGATTGGGGGAAAGAGTTATAAAGACAGAAAATATTTGGGTGCTATTACATGAATGAAAATCAGAGCTCTTTCTGGTCAAGAAGAAAAATATTTTGATCAAAKCAATGTTTGAATTCAGTGTTCTAGCATGTAACAAACACAGTGCATGAACTGCAAAAATGATAAATAAATGGGAACACAGGCAATTCAGAAGTATTCCCAGAATGTACAGGGCTGCCTATGGGGAACATGAGTTCATTGCAAGTGATAGCTCAAGAAATATGCAGGATTTTACCCGAATTTATCTGATGTTTTTCAGTAAGTATTTTGTCATTAGAAAAATATCCCAAAACTTCTTGTGGCAGAAAGTAAGAGGACTGGTTAAAGTTTTCAAAGAAATTAATTTGAAAAATGCTTCCAAACTGGCAGTTTGTTATCACTGTTTCAAAGTGGAAAAAAAATTAACTAGAAGATAGGTTGCAGTTTTACTGTGAGCTAAACTGACAATTTAACTTTCAGTAGAAAGAAATGTGTTCAGACATTTGTGTGCATACCTCAATAAGGGTGAAAATCAAATTTTGATTTGCAAGTGTTTGGCATAGACTCTACATTTTTGGGCTTGAGATAAGAATGAACCATCTAGATTTTACTTTTTCTCCATCTATTTATTTACAAACTGGGGGTCTTTCCAAATCTACTTTGCACAATCCCAAACTTCAAGGTCACACTATATGAGAGAATGGCTGTATCCCTGCCTCCTTAATTCTTCCAGGTTGTTGCCAATTCTAAATGTAAACTATTCCATAAAAAGTATAAAATTATAAACATTTGTTGTACACTGTATTTGTACATACCATTTAATACTTGTTTGTCCTGTTATTGCAGAAACCATGCTTACCCTCCAGAGACACCTTAACTGCAAATGAAGGTAAATTATAGCCACCACTGTGAAAAAGTTGACATTTCTCTGAATTTATTTTCTTTTTACTAAAAAGATGAAACAAACAACACCAAGTTCGGCTTACTTTAGGTTTTTGAGGGGTGTTTGGTTTTAGCATTTTGAACAGGATGTAGGCAGCCATAGTTTCACTGAATATCATTGTTCTCTAAAAGCAGTCACAGTAAAACTCCTGAGGTTACTGGCAGGGTAATGTAGGGCAATAATGGACCAGCAATGTGACCACTGAGCCCTGTAAGTGGAGAAGGGGGAAGGGTCTAACCGAGCCCTGCAGGTATCCACAGCACAGATATTTGCCTAGAATTAATTAATACAAAAAAAGCAGCACAATGGCAAGCTGTAAGGGAAATGTAAGGGAAAACCCCAATATTTATAGTGAAAGAAACCCTCCTTCACCTCGCGGGACTCCCTAATGTGGGATAATTATTTCTGAAGAAATCTTGACTCTACTGTTTGTTTTCCCAAACTACAGAAAAACCTACGGCACCAGAACGRCGACGAAGTTCCAACCAGGAGCTTCCACTTCCACCCCTTCCGAGTGGTGCCCAAAAGTAGGATCCCTTTCCATCTTCTTTTGAGTATTTCAATGCATCAGCACCTACTGCTTGGTCTGAGCACAGCTGTGAGAGGCTCAAAGGGGAGCACTCTTTTCACTGTAGCCTTCCTGTTGCTTTTTGAGAGCTGAGATTCCTGAAGCCTCACAGCAGMAAAAAAATAAAACATGGTTAATTAATCCATACAAATACTATAACCGTCACCAAAAGGCATGAGAGGATATAATCTGTAGTAAGGTGATGGAGATTTATCCTACTAGTGGGATAACACTTTTTTTTAAATACCTGTATCAGACTTGTATTTCTCAATGAACAAATGGGTGAGATGGAACACATTCTACTGCTGCTTCAACTATACAATTTTCGTATTATCAGGACTGGGTAGATCCTTTCAGACCTTTCTGTAATCTCTYGACTTTTATTTCAGGCCTCTGCTTCAGAAGTCCTCAATTCTGCCAAGTAAGTTTCTGAATTGAAATGTGATTAAYTTGTGATTTCAAATTAATCTTTGAATTGAAATGATTTCAAAATACCTTGCATAGTAATTAATTTGGAATTAATGTATCTGTAATGCCTACCAAAAGGAGATCAAGTATCCAGGATCTTAGCTTAGCTAGTAAAATTAAGGGAATGTGTCAGGGTTATTGATGGAAAATGGATGCTTCWTTTACATTTATGACTACTGGAAATTTCAAGCAAAGGCAGTTTGGGTCATTTCCCATCATAATAAAGATTCCATCAATCTTCCTTCTCACAGAAGAATCCTAAATATGACATTTCTGGGCTGCTCCAGGCTTCTGTTGGCTAGAAGACAGACAGATTATTATTGCATCCAATTTAACCTTTTTYTACAGAAGAAAAAAAAGGAAAGTATCTTTATAATAGCAAGTGAAAGCTCTTCTCTAAGTAGTGCTTTTCAAGAGGAATTTTGTTTCAGTTCACAAATTAGGTAATATGAAATATGTATATAAATTCTCTTTGTACAGACATGTAAATTAGATTTAACATTTTTCTAGTCCCATAGTTAGCAGACACTTGTCTGACCTTCCTGTAAGCCCTTTACTGTACATACTCAGTCTGAACGTATCTTTCACATCGTAAACAGATGGTGTGAATGGCAGATAGAAATCTACATTTGGTGTAGCTTAAACTTATATGCTGTTATTAGTGTATCAATTTCCTAGAAACATTTGCTTGCTGTGTGTKGCAGTTCCATCTCCTGTGCTGAGGAAGTGTGATGGGTTCATATTAATGCTCTTGACTGATGCACTCAAGTTTGTCTGCTCCTGTCACAAAACTGAAGTGCTTCAACTTGAAGCATAAATTCTAACTATTCCCGGAACTGTAACTATTCTTCAAGGCCATCTGGTGCTAAAATGATTAGTAAACTTTCTTTACCATATCTTATTCTGTGCCAGGTCCAATAACAACTTTATAAGACATACTACTGGTCCCAATCACTAATGTCCCTTCAGCATAACCTGCCATCTCTTCTTTGGCCCCATACAAGCCTAGAGCTAAYTTTCATCATCATTAAAAGTACTTATTTCCCATATGGCACAGTATCAAATGCTTTACTGAAGTCCAAATTAATTACTGTGCCACATTCCCTCTTTGTAGGATTCTGTTATTTTATGAAAGAGCTGAAACATTTTATCTACTTGGCTAAGATTCAGATTTTCTCTTGCTTGTTGTACCATTACTTCCAAATCTTAATGTTATTTCCTTCAAATTCTCTCCTAGGGCCTTGTGTTCTGTGGAAGCAGACAAAAAGCCCTGTAGATAATCAAGTCACTTTTTCCAATTTAGGTATAGCAATTATGCTTGGTAYTCTTCAATAATTTGGTATCATCCTGACTTGAAAATTACTTAAGATAACTGTTACCACCTCAGAATTTCATGTGCCAGTTTTTAAAATTTCAAATGTGAAGATTACATGGGCCTATCARTTCAATTGTACTAAGGTTATTTAAGCTTTGCTTCCAATTTGATTGGGGAAATTTCCATTTCTGTGCCAAGCTAYTGCTTAGTACCTAAATTATCTTTAAAATCAATGAAATTCTTATTGCATAAAGCCCCATCTCTCTTTCCTTTTTTACRCATAACTAAGGCATCTTTTATCACTTATTTTAATGTCCTTTTCTCAAGTCTAATTCACTAATCTGATTGAGTTCTAGCAGTTCTTGCTTTATTCATAAAATCTACTTTCAGCTGTAGCTTTAACAGCTGGTCAGTCAAAATTTTACAGAAACAAACAGAATTCACAATATTGAATAGCCTTCTACAGGTGATTTTTAATGATTTGAGAGCTGGAACTGCTCCCTACAATGTCTCCCCTCCACTTGGGATGCAGATCCRCTCTTGGGCCAAATTCTGTTTTGCCAGAAAGGAATTATCTATACTTCTCATCATATCATTACTATGCAACACTACTCAAACATTTTGCTTCWGATTTCTTAAACTCTTACATCTGTAGTTCAGTCCCAGTAACTATTTTCTCCTCTGCTTTGTTATTCCAATTATAATTAAGCTTTATAATCTTTCTATTAGTTCTGTTTCTCCATTTAGCTGCCTGGACTTTTTGCACATGCATACAAACAATTCAGGTGGTCTAAACTGGTCAAAAATTATCTCTGAGTGATACCAAAGGTCAAGTGTTTCCAGATCTTCCAAAAGCCTTGTAACAAATCAATCTTTTACGTCATAACAAACATACTTTGAAAACTTATACATGTTGTTCTTTTTCTTTTCTAGAAGTGCCAGAAGCTGCAAGCCGTTCTCTGGGTGTTTCCCCTCACAGCAGCACTTCATCTATTTCAGGATCTGCAGACCAGGTATACTATTAGCTAAATTTATATTACAGAATTTCCTTATTCTGTATTTTAAAATAGTATTTCTACCCTAACCYCCTTTCATAAGAAAAATAACACTTTTTGTGGAGACCATGTATGCCCCCTTTTGCAATGAGGCTTTTCTGTAGCACAAATAATCTGCATGTTAATTTTCTTTATAGTATGTTTAGAATATATAGCATAAGAGAGGTTTTAAAAACTGTAGAAAAATATGTAAATAGCATTATATCAAACCTTGGAACTCTACCAGTCACTTTAAACAAAACTCAAAACAGCTTTAGTTGCATGACTTCCCAACTTTGCAGTTCATACTTTCAGCATCATTGAAACAAGGAAATCTGTGGTGATGTACTTAAGTCTGGTCTTTGATATAGATGGCCATAAAGAGTTTTTAATCACCTCCTTTTTTTTCTAACTAATAGCTATACACATTCTGTACAGGAAAAAAAAAATTCAGTAAGCAGATAAAATGATGCTGTGATATTTCCCCCACATGTTTTAGTCTCTCCCAAGTCCAACTGCTTCCTGTTCCTTTACAGAGATTTCTTCTCATTGCAGTTAATGCTGYCCATTTTATGGCCAATTATTTTTTTATGTGTTCTGTTGCAACATTAAACTTTGAATGATCTAAGCAAATGCAAAGTTATTTTCATTTCAGCGCTACTCCACTTACTCTCATTTTGGATGAAGGGAGACTACAAAATGCAGAAAGCCATTCTTATTAGCCTTATTAGTCACAAACAAGGTAAAAATAGTTCTGTTGACTCTGAAACAAAGGCTCTATCATACAGAGCCAGTAACATTAAGTGTTCTGAAGTCTGGCATGACAAATATAATACAGCAGTGAAGAAAACAAAGGATTTGAAGTTCTGGAAAACTTTTATCTATGTCATACTGGATATTTATTATAAAAATTACTTTCAAATAAGCAATCCAGCAGACTCTAAATAAACAGCTTGTAGCAATTACATTTGCAACTTTTATGTAACAGCCATGGGCAAAAACAGAATTTAAAAAAACATCCATTTTGTTAAAAAAAAAAAAAAAAAAAAAAAAAAAAAAAAAAAAATTTTTTAAAAAAAAAAAAAAAAAAAAAAAAAAAAGAGCTGTTATTGCTATTTTCCCAGCAATTATATACAGTGGTATTATTTGCNCATTCATTCCCATGACATTCACTCTTTGTTTTGTCACTAACCAAATCCAAACAACTCATGGCTAACCCACAACTGAGCAGCATTTAAATTGTTCATGATACMTTTATTCCTCTTTAAATTCTATTGGAATAGCTTCCATCTTTAAATCTATCCTACAGTTGAACCTGGCTGCTTTCCTCAGGGTATCTCTCTTTTGTAATTTATCAGCCTTCTATCACAAATCTGTTACCACTGTTTTGATACATCACTTTTCCTTTGCCCTACCTCATCCAACTAAAAAAGTCAACTCCAGKCAAAGACTTTTTTAAACTCTGTGTTCTCTGCATTTTAGTTCTTCACAACTGTCATTATTTAGCAGTAACTCCCCTAMAGGCCATATTCTTTATTATTATTATCATTATTATTTTACAGGTGAAACACTGTTCCTCTCTTTTTAGGATGCTGGTGTTCACAGTAAAGCATGGTATGCTGCTACCTGTGATAGGAAAATGGCAGAAGATGCATTGTACCGATCAAACAAGGTRGGTCATTTAAAATAATGTCTGGTTTATGGGGAAAGAAAAAAAACTTTAATTAAAAAAAAAAAGACCCCAACAGATGGCTGCTACTGTGYGTTTACTCCTTTTTCTTTCTGGTTGAGAGAGAGAACAGTAGCWGCAAAGATGATTCATAAATGATGTGATTCTTAAATACATGCTATTTCTCATTTGCTGCTATTCTTCTGATGGGAGAAAWGGGTGTAATCTAATATAAATCAAAATATTAAGCTAAATACACCAACTACTTTCCTCTCTTTAGGACGGATCTTTTCTAATAAGGAAGAGTTCTGGACAGGACTCACGACAACCATATACCCTGGTTGTGTTTTACAACAGAAGAGTGTACAACGTTCCCATACGATTCATTGAATCAACAAGACAATATGCACTGGGCAGAGAAAAAAGTGGTGAAGAGGTGAGATAATACGGGGCTATTTTTCCTAACAGTTTTCAACAGTTTATCCTTTAATAAGCAAGGACTAAGATATATTGCACTATGACTATAAAGATGAAAATGCACCCTTTATAATGACTGATCTGTCAAGCTAGAGAAACCAGTGTTATGTCAGCTCCTGGGCACTGTAACTAAAACCACAGCTCAAATTTAAAACATTCTCATAGAGYTGTTTTGAATAAAATTAACAGAATAAGAGCTGCAGTTGCTAGATAAATGTTCTGACTGTTTATAGTCCTCGATTTACTTTCTATCTATGACTCCTGTTAAGTTTTTTGGAAAATTGCAAAGGAAGAACAGCTATGCTAAAAAACAAAACAACTCCCCAACACTATCAAAAATGAGAATTACATTACTCTTAATACTGTTGTCACATAGAGAAAATGTTAAGCTCTAGCTCTGGAGTGAAAATATCACTAGTTGGCTACTSTGCCATGTAGGTGATTACTCTGATAGAAAAACAGAAACTTGGAACACAAATACTARTAAGAATGATTTGTTATCATTGCATAGAGTAGGCTTTTCAGCAATGGGAAAGTGGGCTTGCCATAGCCTAATTACCTGCCTCTAAGGCACCAGTTTTGAGATTACAGGATATGTAACAACCTGGAGCTTTCTTGGTCTTCAACAAAGGGTGAAAAATTACATCATAAAAACTAGATAGCCCTAAGTCTTTATTTGACCAAAGACCAATAGGAAAATCAACAGATCTAGTAGATTCTGGATATTAATATACAAACAATAAAAYGGTGTAACTAGAACAATTCTCATTGATGGCTGCCTCTATACCATGTTGCTCCTGGAGATAGCCTTCCCTCTGAGGTGGGTGAACCATATCTGCCACAGCTTCTGAATAGCCAGTGTGCAGCCTACTATACATTAAGGTAAAATGAAATGTCAGTTCATTACGGCCCATAGCAAACTCAGTGGATCAGTTTGTGCAGGCGGCAATCACAAACGGAAAGGATGAAACAGCCAGTGGCTGTAATGTCTTCTATTGTCCAAACTTAATCTGTTTACAACTAAAATCAGAAATAAGAGAAGGATCAACGTTCTCACTAAAAGGCAGAGCATCTCACTTGGTAACAGTTGTAGCTTAACTCTCTTCAATTATGTGAGAAGCAAAGATAGAAAGATGCAGTGATTTCTGTCAATATTAAAGGAAGCCAGCACTAATTATTTTTTGTTTTCTTTATCCAGCGCTTTGACAGTGTTGCTGAAATAGTAGAGAATCATCAGCGCACCTCCCTGGTTCTAATTGACAGCCAAAACAACACAAAAGACTCAACAAAACTGAAGCATATTGTAAGAGTTTCTTAATCAAACTGAACTGCTAAAATGAAGACTTCTTTAATAATTTCTTTCAACTTACCAAGACATGGACAAGGCATTAAAAGAAGAAAATCCAAAATGATGGGAAACACTCTATAAGAGCACCTACCGAGTAGTAAGAAATRCAGTTCTTAGAGTTCAACCCCACAYTGCTTTTAACAGAAAAGGGTTCACACTTAACACAGGAAGCCAAAGTAGATGCACTGTCATCTGTGACAACACAGCTGTCCAAAATCATATGAAGAACTGCATACCACAGCCTGGTCCTTTGCTATTGGAAGATTTCTTGTAGGGCATTTACATTTTAAAAATGAAAACATCCATGGTGATCTACTCTTTCAATTTATGTTTACCACATATCACTGCTTTCAGCAATTTTTTTGTAAAGTGCACTGCCCCAGAAATTAGAGCAACTTGACCTACTGTATCACTGTGCACAAGTTGAAAATAGGACTGTACTTTGTGTGGCAATAAATCCACCTGAATGTTTTCGATTTATGGACATGTGTTGTCCTTTTCCTCAGCTTCATCCTGTTTCATTGATACTTTTGTACTTTCAAATGTGCAAATAAAAAAATTACTGTAAAGTCAGTAGGGTATGGAGACTTTGCTGGACTSTGTTTCTTGGCACCCTTCCAGCAAGAGAGCATCAATTCACTAGTGCTGATGTTTTAATGTTGTGTGAGCTCCTTCACAATTTGTTATGAACAGTATCACTTCTTAGAACTTTATCTCATATATATATATATATATGTGTATATACACACACACACATATATTTGGCTTAATTACTCAAATCTTTTCAAACTGCCCACTGTTGCTGACTCAAGTGCACTGCTTTGTTGATAAACTAGTTATCCACTCAGTTCTTACTGAATTACTGTTTATGGAGACAAACAGAAAAAAAAAAAAACCCTCTTTTTTCAGGCCTGTTCTATCACAGTGATTTACTTACTGTATTATTGCGAACAAAGTAAACTTACACAAATGTTCACGTGGCAAAAATTGATTTGATGAATGTACAAATTGCATCAATGAAAAACTTTTAGGAGCAATTGTTAATTAGTTCTAGAGTGGTTTAATTTCACTGGACCTGAAAACTCATCCATCTTAAAGGTATCTTCCAAAACTGATACTTTATACACACGTTTTGTTCTTTTTGTTCCAAATTAGGCAGTGTTCTCTAGGATTATATTCAAGGCATTAAAGGCAAGACYGAGTCAAGACCTACAAAGTATTAACAATTCACTTAGGGCCATAGTGTAGCTGTATTCTGCAACTATTTTCTTGTGCTTTTGATCAATTACTTCTAAAAGTAATGCACCTGTCTTCTAGAAAGAACTGTATGCTAATATGATTGATGCTCAGCAAACAGCTACCTACATTTCTTGAGGCACCTCAAGTTTATTCCCTCTGCAACACAGGTAATGTGTTTTGCCCCAGGTAAAGCAAATAAGACATTGCCATGTRAGAAGCAATGCATACAGACCTTACATAAGCCTGTCYATGACAGACCATTCACYGTACTACATAAGGGTTGTTAAGCATATTGCTCAGTTGGCATTAGTGGTGGCTTCATACTATTAAAGCAGTTGACATTTCACTGAAGAATTAAACATGTTGTCCCTGCATCTTCTACTGCACCATCTACTGTGACCCTRGTCAGATCACTTCAACCAAATTTTCTCCTGTTGGTAATTAATTGTGATCTTAATTTCAGTGAAGTCCCACTTGAGATTTTCTGAAACCTGATCTGCAGAAATGCCAAACTCTTAGGACCTCAAACAAAGCATTATGGAAAAGCTTGTAATAAAAGAATTACATATTTAGAACAGTACTTAAACAATGTRCACCAAATAATACAAGGACATAATTAAGGGTGGGGAAACAAAATATTAAATCGCTATTCAGGAGGGAGCAACAATTCTCTGCACTGAATGAAAYGGATATTCATGGAAAAAGTGACACATGACAATGAATTAAGGTTGTTTAAAGCAACCTTATTTCAACATTTCCTAGCTTTATAATACTCTTTTTCACAGTACCATTTTAAGGTCAATTCACAGGAAAACAAACCAGTTAGAAAAAAAATTCTAGTGTCACTCTCATGATTCATCAATATGGACAAAACTCCCTAATGCCACAGCAGAACTTCCACCTCAAAGCTAAGTAATTGTCAATAAAAATTGGTCATGCTTGCTGAAATTGCACTAAGTAGGTTTAGAAACAAACTTCATATATTTTTTCCAAAGAAAACRAAGTCCAGAATTCACAAGTTCAATTTCACGGTTTATAGGGAGCAAGCTGAGGCAAACAACAGATCCTTCTTGTCTTTTCCTGATGCTGTTTCATTCCAACTTGCTTCCTCACCACTACACTAGTCTCCTTCAAAGTTCCTAGCCAAATTACCATCAGAGCTCAAGCCCATTGTGCAGCACAAAATGATCTGATTTTCATACACAGCCCACACCAACTGTGTTTTAATTCACCCAAACTATGCTGCCTCCAYTGCTTCAGTTGACTCCCATAAGTAACTCACCAGCTACAAGGCTAGTGTGTATCTTCCTACCAACAGACATATCAAAAAATGTGGCTAGCCACTGAAGCGATTGTTTTTAAATAATTTTAACTTTTTAAAATATAGGTTGAATTCCAGTTAGTGGTGACATGTCTGTGACATCCATGAAAGATTTCCTACTGTTTCATTGGTAGCAAGCAATCTTCCTTGCATACAGTCCAAACCACCCCCCCCACCCCCCCCAAATTTAAAAGCCCCAGTCCGCCCCAATCCTGATATTCAAGTTTTAGCATCAATACTTCGGGATCCTGACTTACACCTCCATACTTGGGCAAAAGGTGCCAGCCATTGAGTAAGGGCAATCCCACTTACGCCTGAAACTTCTAGCTTACAGATTCATTAAGAATTTGGAGGACAAAGCCYCCACACATAACTACTGTGGATAATAAGGACTTTCATCTGTATACCCTCAGTCACTATGATTAAGAGATCTTTTGTTTACATACCCTCATATAAACATTAAARACGGTGAAGCATATTCTCTCTTCATTCTCTCTAAAACTGTAAGTRGAAAGCAAGCAGGCTCCAAAGAACCTGCTGGTACCCAACTGGCTGGTAAAGTAAAAGAATAACTGAAGCCTCGGTTTTGCCAAACCCCTGGTGCCCCAAAAGGCAGTACATGAGAGTAAGCAATAGCAGAAACCATTGAGTCATTTTGGGGACAAATTACATCCATCTGAAATAGAACKATAATGTGGTTACAGGCCAGAAATGGTGCTCAGCTCTTCCCCATATCCTGACCTTCCTATACAGTGTGTGGCAGACATAGCAAGACAGAAGTATTTTCTATAAAAGCTCAAAGTCATTTTCTGTAAACACAAGTTATAGCAAATTTAATAGTGACAAAATCAATACAGATTAGGAATGTTCACCATTCTTAAACACCATATACATTATGAATATATATACTGTATATTTTCAATCAATTTCATTCTGACTCACTGTATTAACACAATCATCATATGTTTTATTAATTTATATGAAAAATACTTCACTAAGAAAGTAGACAAACTGCACAGAAATAGTACAAGTGTCATGTGCATAGCAATATAGCTTAAAGCATTCACATATGGCTTTGTTTAAATGAAACTGTTGGGGGAATGGCCCTATGCGGACCCATGGTTACACAGTCGACATAATGTAAACTGCTTCACATCTTTGAGGCACTTGCTAACAATAGTGTTCAATCCCTGAAAAAAAAATCAAGAGCTAATAAGTGAAAATAACAAAAATCCCAGGATAACAGCTGTGTGTATTTGAAAAGATCTTAAAAATTGGTTTTAGTAGTGCATGCACAGAACTGAAAAATTGGGAAGAGGGGTGTAATTTCTGTGCAAGAATTATACCAGGTAACTGATAAGTATAAAAATATTTACATGTTTAGGGATTTTTAAGTATGTACAGAACAAAAGCCCTGAAGAGTCATTCAATAGAATAAAAATATAGTACGTGATAGCAGTAATAAAAAATAATATATATTTCTATGGAATTGTATTTGCAGTTAGTTACAAGTTACTTAAACCACGAAGTTCCTTGATCTTTCTCAAATCTGATGGTGATAGGGAATATACTCTTTTAAAACACAAGCACTTTGCACCATTTTTCAACTTCAGTTACAATACTGACATGCAAAACAGAACAATTTGTGTATCCAAATTCAAGTGATTTGTTTTTAAACTTTAATGAATGATAATTACTTTTTTCACCGGTCATCATTTCATTAACAAATTCCAATCTCGAGTAGCCTCCATCAGATGTCTYTGTCCATGTCCTACCCAATTATCCTGATTGTCAAATATTCTACCACAAAACCAGCAGCTAAACTTAGCTTTCAAGGTATTATCAGAGGTAGTTTTCACAATCTGGTAATTGTTTTTGCTAGTCTTTTTCAGTGTCAATTTTAAGACAAATCTTTCTTTTACAGGGCTAATGGGTTTTATTGTCCTGTACCTTTTCTGAGAAAAATCATCAGTAGTTACACCCAAAGGATTGCAGAGGTCTGGCTGCAAAAGAGCGTCAACAGTTCTTTTTGACAACAAAACCTTAAGAACATGTCCCTTAAATTTAGTAACGGTTTTCATTAAATTTACAACTTCTGGAACATCTACATCAGGATGATTAAGCACAACAACTGGTTGATTTCTCCGGGGGCATTTTACAAGCTGGGTAGAATTAAAAGGGAGTAGTTTCAAAGTCCTCACAGTTTTTTTTGATGCCCTTGGTTTGTAAGGGCTACCTGATTCACTAACKATTTCAGCCTGATTCTTTTCCTTACACTTTCTGTGCAAGATTACTTTCTTTCTTGGAGGTGCTGGGCAATTAGCCTTCCTTTTACGTTTGAAATTCTTCTTTCTTTGCACACCCCCAGTTTCTGAACTTTTAGACCCAGCTTGTTTTAAASTAGGTTTTACTTTTGCAGTTCTGTTGTGGTTGCTCCATGTGGACTTCTGACAACCAAATTTATTTCTCTTGTTAGCAATTACTTGTGTACTCTCRATAGAACATTTCTGCAATTGTGTCCCTGCAGGTTTAGCAGAATAAACAGGTTCTACAGGAGGAACACCACATGCTGGATTAGAGCTTGCCAAAGAGGCATTTGCTGGTATTAACCCACCTGGTAAGTTTAAGGCATCATTAAAACTAAGATTAGTTTGTTTCTGTGCTAGTGCAGGCGTAAGGAATTGCAAGTTATCCACCTGTAGTGAGGGCACCGAGTTGTTTACTGACTGAGTGGTATCAGACAGTGTAGGAGTCTTAATTTTCAGCAAAAGCTGTTGTTGCATGGCTCCAGTTTTCTTTGGTTGATAATTTTGATGAGCATTATCCTGAAAAAAAATTGGTTTATGAACTACAGGCTTGTTTGGTGTCATACAGTTCAGAAAAACTCCCTGCTGTCCATCAGGCGAAAGTGCATAAACATCTTGTTCCTGTTTGATTCCCTGTTGCTTTACTGACTCCAAAGAACYAAAGAGAGCATCCTGGTGCTCTGGTAACACCTTCACAGAAGAAGCTGCTTTCACAGATGATTCTGATGACTTTGTGATTACAGGAGGTGCTTTGAATGGCACACTGTTYGATGAGCCATTTACCAAACTGCATACTTCCCTATTACAGGAACTTCTTACATTTCCAAAACAGTCATTTTTYCCCTTCACTTCTGAAGCTGATATGGTTATTTTCCCCAATTCTCTGGATGCAATTCCTCCTAAAACCTGAGAACTATCATTAGCGGCATTTGCAACTGTTCCAACTGCCCCACTAAAAGTCAAAATCATTCCAGGTCCTTTATTTGAAACAAAAGATGCAGGTACACCTTTAGTCACATGCCCATCTGATGAACTGGTTGATGGAAGAGATTTTCCTGAAACCACCGGTTGTCTAGATTGGTTAGAGAGGTGGAAAGGAACCAAAAATCGTGATGGAAGGGACCGAACAAAAAGGGCCTTCTTCTGTTCCTGAAGAATAGGCAAAACTGGAGAAAAGCTGCTAGGATTTTGAGCTGCAGACAGTACTTTATCTTTTACTAATTGCTGTGTAAACTCATCTGTGTGAGTTTTTAGCAGTGTACCAACACCTGGAGTTCTGGATAATTTGTCCACRTCCTGTGAATCAAGTGATGTTTTGGGCTTCTGTCTTTCTCTCCCACGTGTACCTTCATTTGTGCTACATCTTGTGTTCAACTCTCTCTTATATAAATGGAAGTCTACATTGGAAGGAGGCCTCTGAAAACCACGTGCAGTTGCAGAGCTTTTTAAACGCGCACAGGCTGCATTCCTAGTCTCAGGACCAGAAAGCAGATTACCAGAATGAAGTTTTACAMAGTTATTCATCTTGCTGTGGGAGTCTTGCTGAGAAGTTGCTTTTACTTTTAACACATCTTGCAGTAACTGGTTTATCTCAGGCGATAAATAATTAGCTGCCTGTTCACTTTGCAATGAGAAAACAGATGTGATTTTAGGCATTAAAAAGGAGTTAACACAATCAGAGGCATTTTCCTGGAATTTCTCAGCTACATTCTGAAAGCCACGATCTATGTTAGTGTCCAAATACTGCTGGCCATTATGCTTGTCCTCCATAAAACACTCGCTGTCAACACCACATTTAGATTGGCTTTTAAAAGACACAGAGTTATTCTTAGTGTTTATGTGTTCAGAAGTTTTATTAATATTTGATTGGGCTGACACAACTTTCTCTGCTTTTGCACCTTTCACCAACTCTGAATATGAAGATGCAGATTCACTTCTACTCTTTTGAAAAGAAACTGTTTTGCTAAATTCTTTATATCTGTCATCAGTTGACATCCAAATGCTACATGGATTATCCAAAGAGTCCATTTTGGAATAGTTGTGAAAAGACAACAACCCTTCATTAGATGAATCTACCAAAGTTGAATAATAGAGATTATTAGTTCCATTACTATTATTCAGGCCACCATTTTGCATTTTCAGTTCAGGATAGAAGGGCRTTTTCATCGGGTCATAATAAAGGGTATTTGTAATAGCGGCTGGTAATACCTGAGGATGACCTGAAGGACTAAAGCTTCCCCACGAGATATTTTGAGTTCCAATTTTTGTTACCTCTTCATGTGGAGGGACAGTTGAGTCCAGCTTCATTGGCAAATAATTTGAACTTTTTGCTACAGCTATATTAGAAGGTGCTACAGTTTCACGAACACTCCTACCAAACAACATGGAATTCTCTTGTTTTTTCACTTTTGTTTTTCCTGAATGAGGAGCAGGACAAGAAAACGGAGAGGATGTTAATGGATGAACACAATTGTTCTTTAAGGTTGACTGATCAGTAACATGTGGTATAGCACCTGAAGACAAGCCACAAGAATCATTAGGCTGTAGCAAAGGAGTTGTAGGTAATAACTTTATAACAATATGTTGTTTTCCATCTACCATTTTAAAGCCCATAAATTTAGCACTGTAATTTGCTGGAACAGATATTTTATTGTTTTTGACCATCAATACCGTCGGCCCATGAACAGCATTTTTCAATAATCCCAGGCCACCACTTGTTCCATCGTCTCTCTTATTGTACTGTGCCGTAGTGGCAGAGAGCATTCCACCCATGAAATTATGCTTTTCTGTGTATTTAATTTGATCTTTCTCTTCATTTGTTTCCACATCTCTCATACATTGGTTCAGCTCCTCAGCCTTTGTCTGAATTTTGTTTACACTTCTTAGCACTTGCGTACTTTCTTCTCCAGCATTGTCACTTCCACGGCTTATTTTCTTTCTTCTCCAGAGGGCTTTTTTTGATGATCCCATTTTATACCTTCTTAACACAAGCTTCAGTCCTGCTGGAGTCTTTACTATTCTTTTTTCATATTTATCCTTTTCCAGTTTTTCTTTTGCAATTAAGTGGTCTCTGTGTAAAGCTATTATGTGTTTTAAAAGATAATCTTTCCGTGATGTACTGTAACTGCAATAAGGACAACCAAAAGAAAACATACTACTATGAACAAGGAGATGATTCTGGAGCTCCTCTTCTGTAAAGTTTTCTTGATGGCATTTTCCACATTTGTAGGCAATCTCTTTATGTTTGTGAATGTGCTGAACAAACGTACCCACATCATAGGTAGAAAACCCACATTTTTCACACTGGAAGTGTCCATTTACACAATGCTTTGATATGAAGTGTTTTGTCAAAGCCAACAAAGTGTATATCTGTTCATCATTACAGAGCTCACATTTTACTAAAGTGCTACGATGGATGCGTCTGTGCTGTTTAAGCGACTGAAAGTCATTCGCTGAGAAGCTGCACATCTCACAAGGATACAAAGGCAACTCACCATAGTGTAACAGCTGAAAATGTTTCTGCAGATCATTTGGGCTGTATCTAATGTTATCCTTGCACTTTGTACAAGTGAAATTCAGTACCTTTGCTGCAGTTTTCAACCCCTCTTCAAATTGCACTTCTGGTTTAATTTGCAAGTGGTTTCTCTCAAAACAATTGGGATTGCTTCCACTTATTTTCTCTGGACTTAAGGACTTCCTTGCAGTTTGCTGCTTACACTGAAAGAGTTTCCTAAACTTATCAACTTCATGTTTCATTAATACTTCATCTGGAATGTTCACTTTGGGCAATTCAATTTTCACGGTTTTTAGTCCATAAGCGAGATTGACATCTAAAATTGCTGGCTGAATCGTCATACTTAAGGGCTCACTCACCAGTTCTTTTTTCAAAGTAATATCTGTAGGAAAATTCTTCATAGCATTGTGTTTTAAGAAACTGATTTGCCTTTTATGACAAAAAAATTGTTCCTGTTCAGATGACATGATTTTAGGTATTACTTTTCTTTACATGAATCCTTGAGATTCAGTCTTACTTCCGGCAGCAAATGAGACAACCAAACTGAGTTATTCTCAAAGCTCTATAACTTCCCCATTTCATTCTCCTGAAATTAAAAAAACAAACAAAGCAAATATTATTTTTAAAACTAATGGAGTTAGAACACCTGTTACAATTCATGAACAAACACATGCCAATCTTTGAAGTTGTTAATTTTTATGACAGCATTCAAGAGTGGGGTAAAAAAGATGAGACAAAAAAAAAGCTATTAGACTGTAACCTTTTTTTGTTTGTGTTGAGGGTGTTTGTTGGTTTGTTGTTTGGGAGGTTTTTCAAAAAAAAAAAAATCAACTTGAAAAATAAATTTTAAACAAGAGTATCTACTGAAAACCAGAAACACTGAAATTCCATGTCATCMAATTTTGGGTTTCTCCCACTCTGTAAGCATAAGAAATCTCAAGATRTACTTTTTTAAAAATGAAGCCTATGTTTATTACTCATCTGGGATTTCAAGCAAATAAAAACACTTCTTTGTGACATGGGACACTAACTGGACCTAACTGAAGTACTAAAAGCAAGCCAAATGCAGCAGGATTTGAGATGTATATTACTYAGGTCTGCTGCTATATTAGTAACTATTGTGCTTAAAGAGCAAAGACAAAATCAGCATMTGACAACAGATCTACTTTACTAATGGAGACATGATCTTTACCAACATCAAAACATTAATCACACTGACCTACAATTAWTTTTTCACATGCCTACCTTTAATACCACAGGAGTCTGAAGCAGTCAAGAGATAAAAGTTCTCAGGTTTCTCACTGCATGTTCCTGGATACATGTTAATATTTGCAGTGCATGACTGACAACTCCTCTATGTACTATGTACTCCTCTATGGATTAAACAGCTCAAATAGTTATGGTCAGCACCACTGTCTCGCTACAGATTTCATGTCAGTGTTTCCATAAAAGGCTGCACCGACAATTTATCGCAGCTCAAGTCTTCGCTTGAGCAACACTCCCACACAGAATATTGACACAGAATCAGCAGAATTGGAACAACAGTGGAAATAACTAAAATTCTGAAAAACAATACTGGAAAGGAAGAACTGTTTCTTCACTAGTGTAAAACTTCTGACTAAAAACTTCTTCCACTATAGAAGTCACRAAGCCGCTTTCTTCTTTCCTAACAAAAGTTAGGAAATCATTAGCTGAAATCTGATCAGCAATTCTGTCTCTACTACTCTAGTGCTCACCCTGAAGCAACACAGACTCGGAACTCATTAGATCATCTTATTTATTCACATTCAAACTGAAAGAACGATCATATCCTCTCCCTCACTGTGTTTAAGTATAAAGGCCGTTTCTAGATCTCCAAGCCATTATAAGCATTAGCCCTAAGGTCTTTTAAGTATTTTCCCATCATAGTTGGACAAGAAAGTATCTAGCATTAGACATGCAAACACTTGACAAAGAAAACGGAGACTGAAAAATTTACAAGTCCATGTTCTTGTACCATGTAGCAAGAAAAGCAAAACACTTCTTTTTTTTTGGGCATATACTTTATTGAATTGCTTTGGAAAAGATATTAGCACTTCTGCACAATTCTTGAAAATAATAAACACAACACTTTGACACTTTACACATACTCTAATATCAAGAAAATTCACTTAACTGTGTTCTCCAGATAAGAGACCTGCAAGACTTCAACTATACATCTGACATTAACACCCSAAAACAACAAACCACAGGGACATACACTGCCTCCTTGGAGTCTCACCAAATGGAAACTCTTTGGGTGAGGATTTTTTTTCTTTTAACTCAATGACTCATTCCCCAACTTCCATGAAAAAGTTTAATACAAGGGATATGACCCTATTTGAGCCTTGAGAACAACTCCCRCACATCAACAGTCCATTTCCACCAAAAGAGTACTTCATTAAAATGCATTTTTTGCCAATGGTAAATCCTTTATTTGAATAGAACCAAGATGAACTTCCACATAAAGAATAAGCAAAAAATTACTCGGATTTGTTTGCTTGAACAATTTTTTTAATAAGCAGATGCAACACAAAGATTACAGGTTGCATGATGCAACATATTATCCTCGTGGTAGTTGCCCATCCTTCAGATTAAAATGTTATACTGTCAGACACTGAAATCTGAAGTATGTTTACAGTTAAAACTATAGAAATCAGAAGTGGATGAAGTGCAGCAGAGAACAAGGCTCAGGCTTTCCACACAGGGCCAATGTGGTTCTCAGCTGGGCAACATTTATGTTTGGCAAAGAATCCCAGTTGAGTATATTCAACTTGATCTGAGATCTCCTTTAACTAATTAATCTTATAAATTACAACTTAATTTTGCTCTTATTGGGTAGCATTCACCTTTCCACAAGSACCTGCAGCATGACATATAAAAATATGTACTCAAAACAACAATTTTAAAAGAAATCCCAGGGATCTTTAAATGTACATTTTCAAAGAAGTCTGACTTACACATTAAGAAAAGACTTGATTTAAATTCTTCAACAGCTGGGTTTTTTYCCACACACACAGAAGAGGTAAGTATGCAAGACTCAGAAAAGGCCACAGTCAGGAGAAATACTAAAAAAAGTTCTGGAAACAAAAGGAAAGGTATTGTAAATGGTATAAATACAAGCATAACTGAAAGAGTAAGTTGAAAAGCACAAATCCCTCCCAAATTTAAATTATGTGGATTTTTAATACATTGAAGACAGAAATATGTACTATCTTCTCCCCCAAAGAGCACCATCAAATACAATATAAATATTGTATATATACACAATATAACAATGCCYATTTGAACCTTAGCTTTGCCTCTATATCTCAGGCATTCATAACTGGGAAGCATAAACACATGGGACTTGTGCATAGAAATAAGTGACTGGTACCTCTGTACTTCAAATTTTAACTTGAACTCAAAAGGCATTTATCTTAAGCAAAAAACGTAATGGCAAAGACCTAATTATAAGTTTATATAAAGTTGTGCAAAAGCCTGGGAAAGAGGTGGAATATTACACTCACAGTATCTGAAACGAGTGAGTAGATTTAAACACAGATATAATGAGCACAAACACTGAAAATACGTAAGCATGTGCCACAGTTAACTCTCACTCAAACAAAACCCAAACCACTGTGCGCAAGCATAAATAMCCAGTTGAGGCTCTCAGCCTCCACCTTCTTCCCTCAAAAATGCTGCAMTATGTCCATATTTTGTTTAAAGAAAATACACACAGAATGAAAGTTTTAGCTATATACTTGGATCTAGTGAGTAATTACAGATGCTTCTAAGTTAGGTAACTTTTACACCTGTTTCCATTTAGGACTAAATTTAAAATAGGTATCCTGGTAGGCAGTATTTTCAAAATTTCTGCAAGAATTTAGACTTACTTAAATTTTACTAAATAACAAATAAAATTATACTGAAATATACCCCATTATTAGTCCCATTCTACATGCCTGCAAATTTAGAGTGRCGCCCTCCTGTCTCCCAAGACCTGGACACTCAAGAACTTACAGAACTAAATCTTACGAAACCCATAGAGCTAGAGCAGTCAGATATAGTCTGACACAGCACARCGCTGCTGTGGTAAAAATAAAATTAAAATAAATCACCGAATCAGTCTCACAGCTCTCACACAGACAGACAGCCCGTTGCCATTTACGAACACAGCAGCCGAACGCGGCGGCGACACTCGGCCAGCGCCAGCCCACCTGCGGGCTGACACTGCCGCCGCCAGCCCGGGGCTGCCGGGGGAGCAACGGTGCCGGGAGCCGGCCAGGGGCTGCGGGGGCCGATGAGCGCCGGGACAAAGCGCGGGGAGCCCGGTGGCGGAGYCCCCGAGCTGCCACCGCCTCAGGGTCGCGCCGCGGGCTCCGTCCGACCGCGGGCACGGCAGCGGGCGCTGCCCGTCACCAGGGTACGGGCGAGTTGGCGCGTCTCTCCCCGGCTCCTCCTCGGGCGCCCCGCGGCAGCGCCACCCCCGCCCGCACGGGGCGCCCGCCCGGCCCCGGGACGGCCACGGCTGTGGGCGCGCAGCCCGGCGGAGGGATACGGCCCCACGGCGGCCCGGCTGCAGCACGAGGCCCCTCCCGCCCGGTCCCGCCGCACCGAGCGCGCCCCACTCCCGCCGGCCGCAGCCCCGGCTACCCCGCGAACCAACCGGGCCGGTGGCTGCGGACCATAGAACGCCTCACCCTCACCACGGGGCACTGACCCGCCCCGCCGCGGCCGCTCRCGCCCCCGTTCGCTCCGCTGCAAACCGCGCCGGGCCGTCCCTCCCGCACCGCGCGGGACCTCCCCGCTCCACGGTCGGTTCCCCCGCGAAGTTACCTCGGGTACCGCCACCGCCCGGCGAGGCGCTGCCGGCCGCCATCACAGTTTCCATCCGGGGACTGCCGGGTGYGAGCCCGGCCGAGGGGCGGCCACGGCGGAGGGATACGTGTTCACCTGAGGSGATGGGCGGACGGCGGCCGACGAGGCCCAAGGCGGGGACGGGGCGGGGCGGYGCCGGCAGGTCCAGCAGCTCTCCTCCTGTTCGTTCTCCCCCAATTCCTCTCTTTCTTCCTTGGATGTGTGTCTTGGGCACATGGCATGGCTATAGGAACGGCCCGCCCACTCCCAGCGCCGTTGCCTTGAGTGGTTCGGCGCTTCCCKGCGCCCGAGGGCGTGTTTGGGCCAATGGCACTGGGCAGGGAGAGCGGATGCCCCTCACAAAACACTCATAAGCAAAGGCCTAGCCCGGGCTTTTTATTCTGCACTCCAGACATGGATTCGCTGACCTGCATAGAGAMAACAATAGACACAATATATAAGGGCTGTCTAAGAGAGGTCAGTAATGAAAGCATCCAGGACAATGTACATGCATTCGATCAATTAATTTGTTTTGAATATGCTCAAAACACCCAAAAATCAAAGCTGAAAATCACTACAGACAAAGCTTGCCTTCAAAGAAGCACATTATCATTTCTGCTTCAGAATATGATAAATGGTGTTGTTGGTAGAAGCATGCTCTTCATGATTGTGCCAACATTTCAATCCACATGGAAGACCACCCAAAGTAAGGACACCAAAGAGTATGAAGGCACATAAGAGGTAGGAAATTCAGCTGCACCATGGCCAAAAAAGGGCCCGTGACATAAAYAGACTGTAAAGAGTAAAGATGAATTGTGAATTAAGAGATCATTGRAAAGGAAATCCTCTTTCCACTTATGAAACAAGTGATCAAAAATCAAAAGCAAAGAGGAGAAAGCTTGAGCTTTTTCCTTCGGGAAGMCTATCTAATGAGCAATTTAGCTGAGCATATCAGCTAAACTTTTCTCCCCAAAACTTGTAACACCTTGTTCGTTGCAACAAAATTTAGTAAGTGCAATGTTTATTTGTGGTTAAATATGAGAGCAAAGATGTCTTTTAGTATGTGTGTGTAAACTAAGGATACATTAAGCATGAACATATTTTTAATTCTTTATTCCAACTGACATCACTTATTTCCCTTGTGTCCTAGACTGTAAAAGAAAATTAATAGAAGTCCTTTTGGGGTGGGTTTCTTGGCCCTAAAGAATATCTTCAAGGAAAGAATTATATCATTGATGGTTTTACTACACCCAAATGAAACAATCTGCTAAAAGTAAGCAGAGAAATGAATTCTTCTGGTTTCTAATTAATTACATTCTTGTAAGTAGTGAGAAGGGGGGATTGTACATACATATCCATAGTGTTTTAGGGGATCTGAAAACCTAAGTACAACTGAAGGMAAATAAAAGAAAGAAAGAAAAATAAAAGAAATAAAGAAAACATAGGGGTTTTTTTTCTGAAACCCTAAAATCAGAAAAGATAACAGAGAAGAATRATCCATGAAAATCATAAGTCCATCGCACAGCTACAGTATCAAATTTGTGCTAGAATGCCAGTATTCCCAATGTGAAAATATGCATCATATTGTCAACTGTTAATCCCAACAAATTTACATGTAAAACAGAAACAAATATTTTATCTGTATTTTATTTCTTTGTGATGCAGATTTAGAACACATATAAGTGTCAAGCACAAGACACAAAATGTGTGGAATAACACCAACAGGAGACAAGAATGAAAGAAGAAAGGCTAATGCCTTATTTATCATATCCATTAAGATTCTTCATTGCTYAAGGAAACAAAAAAGTTTACATCAAAACACACCATTTAACAATAAATTTYTACTGGGATTAAGATCTGTGTAGGAATATATGGGGAAAAAAAAAGATGGGAATCCAATGAAAAACTACAGCAATGGCCAGCCCTACCCAAAACGTTGACAACAGTAGCTTTCCCCCCAAAAAATTGCTCTGACATCTACAGTCAGTTTTSGGTTTGGTGGGTTTTGGGTTTGGYTTGGGGTTTTTTTGCTGAGCATTGGTTATTGTATCCAAAAAAATATGTAAACTGAGTAGTATTTTGGAAGCTTTAAAGGTATTTATACTGTCCCAGTGTGCATTACATCACATGTGCWTCTGAACTAGAAACAATGTGTCCTGGTGTTGGAAAATATACTAGTAYAAAATTTTTTATATAACTTTAGTCAAAGATTTTGTTYTCCTTTGCCCCGGGGGAAGGGTGCTGAAGTTTCTTTCCAGGGCATTGTTCCACCAGGTGAGGCCTGTTGAGTTCACACYTCAACAGACTGGGAGTGATGCAAAAGATTAGGGCCATCAAGGGCCATCAACAGAACATCGGCACCAAACCTCCCCCGGGCATGGTCACAGGCACCTGGTCTGGGAAAAGAGAGATGAGAAGGAAGACCTAATTAGCAACAGGGGGAAAGAAATCCTGATCCAATAGGAAACTGAATACTAAGAATTATGCAGCATTGGACCAATGAACATWAAAACCATGAAGTTCYATGGGTTTTGACTGTATAATGCTTGGGGAAAATCTTGTAAAATCCATGGGTCATGGAATGATATTCTCTGCACACCTGGGCTATGTGTGGACAAAATTATTTCTGTGGCACATCCTGACCAGAACAGCATGCTGGCCAGAAAATAATGCCTTTATTCTCTAATATTCAAAATGTTGTTGGAGAGTTTTGGTTTCTTCCGCAGTTTCATTTCCGCAGTGACATTTTTGACAACCACAAAGGGACAGTGCTTTCAATGCTAAAAGGATTCCGAGACCATGRAGGCCTCCAACCTCAAGCCTTTCTCAAAATGGGCAAGATTTTACTCTTGGTAGCAAACAAGCTAGAAACCACACACCATTGCACATACTGTCCTGATGCAACATTGCAAAATACATCCTGAATACTGGTCCGGTGTTCTTTAGCAAGGCGGGTGCTAATTTCCCTTTTGGAAGGTGCAGATAAACAGAAACATCTAAACCRAAAAGTTGTTCTGTGCCATAACATAAGACATGGCATTACATATTTGATAACTCTATAATTTCTGGTCATTTTTGCATTTCTAATAGTTATGAGTATCTGTCAGTAGAGCCCTTTCATGAGTTTTTACCATCYAGATGCACATGTCCACACCTGCACATTTCAGGTCAGGCTATTTACCCAGTTTGCCTCAGTTATCCATCAGCTGGAGTGAAGGTGTGGACTCATGAAGGTCCGAAATAATTAGTTATTTATAAGATTAATTTGTTTTTCTCAACAGACCAACAGCTTTGTACATTCTTTGGTATCAATTAGGAAATTCTTGAMCTTCTTTTTCAAGAACAAGGTGAGTCCCTCTTCCGTATTCTTTCATCTTTGGCACTTTTGCTGAGATTACTAATATCAAGTAGTAACTTTCAAACAGTAGAGATAGAGATTGAACTCCCTTTATGTCCGAGTCCAAGCCATATAGTACTGGACTACCTTGGAAGTAGGAACCTACCAGACATAATCCTTCATATACCATTCTCAACCCCTTGATAAACTGCATATTCTCTTTCTACCAATTTCAAAACGTGTRTTGGAGACTGCAGGTGTCAGGTTGCCTTTTAATTGTGCCCTGTGGCTTTGGATTTCACTGCCTAATGGCAGGAGATCAGTTACACTGTGATGATACAGTTTAGCAACAGGCTAAATAAAGACATTTTTGYTTTTTCTGGCTCCTTAACCCATGTGAGATGTGTTGGCTATTGTTTTAGTTCTTTCCAAGCCGTTCTCCAGACTGTACCCATTCCAATAGACAGACTGCTGGTGTGAACATGTTTGTTGGTTTGTAATGAAGTGTCTTTGTACTGAGAAACTAAGCCTTTAATTAAAACCAGCTGGCATTATAAACTGTTTCATGCTCCACRATACTGACCATGGTTTTCAGTTAGAGATAGAGAAAATCAGAGGTTTTCTTCATCCTACCTGAAAACTCTGTTTTCCTCTTAGAGTACTCCATCCCACACAACAGATGAGTAAAACAACTGCATTATAACAATTTTATAACCAAAATGCTGCAGTTTTGTATCACAGAGAGTTTTACAAAAGGACAAATAAACCATGTCACAGCCACCTCGTAACTGCACTTCCAGACAGACAATTTCCTTGAGTTATAATAAAGGTAAATAAAGTGTCAAAAAATTTCAGCAAATATCATGCTTTTGATAGCATATGTACTGACAGCTGATAAGGAAGGGTAGCCGGATGTGCACAATTTTGAGACATAGGAGATCTAGAAGAGAAGTACAACACAGCCATTACAATAATATCTCCCATAAGCAAAATCCAGTCCTAATCATTTTCCATTTCAGTTACGAGTTAACTTTGCTAATGCTATTTCATTATKTCTCTTACAAAATCCTTTCCCAAGAAATTGAGTTTGCCCACAACGTTTCGTTGGTGAAACTACAAAGATGAACCTGTTCAGTATTTGCAGAAAGAGACTACAGCGA